AGAGAGAGAGAGAGAGAGAGAGAGAGAGAGAGAGAGACAGAGAGAGACAGAGAGAGAGACAGAGAGATCTATTGTGCAAATAAAGCTGCTGGAAGTAAATTTCTTCAGCCTTCATCTATCTACCAGATCAACACTCTGAAGCTCCTCCTCTATAGAAATTCTGCAGGCACATCAATTTCCCACACCAATTTCCTATTACCATCTAACACAAAATATTTTAAACATCAAACTTTCATTACAACTCTTACTGGAATTATTAAATGGAAATGAAACCTATATTCCACAGGTGACAGTTCCTTTCCCTGAACATGGGGAAGAATCCTCAACACCACCTCACACCCCACCAGCATTTCTATACACTGTATGTAAATGATTCTCAACACCATTCTCTCTTCTGGAATTCATGTCAGTTTCTACATCCAATGTGAAGTCCTCCATGACCACCACTAGAAAGACTGCTCCTTCCTAACTCTCTTGTTACTTAACTTTTCCAGCCCAGCAAGGAATTCATAAGTAAACAGAATAAATTCATAGTAAAATCCTACAATCTAACACCCAACTGTGGTTCATGTGTGTGTTTATGTGGGGGTGGGGAATTGGTGCTAAGAAGTGAGCAAAATGGAGGAATATGTGAGAACAATCCATAAAACAACCACACAGTAAGGTCTTTGGAGTAATGGCAGAGAAGTTTTACAGGTGAAACAAAGACTAAACCAGCAGAAGCACAATGAGCTGAGAACCCTGTCCAACAGAAGAGATACGTTATTTTTCCACCAGAAACTCAAAAGAGTATTTGTAAACTTCTTACCTTCTAGGCGTGAATCACAAGTTTTCATTAGAAAAGGCATCAGCTGAGGTAAGAATGAAACATGCTCTCAGGGTTAAGAACTTTTCATCCTCTGCTGACCCACTTCCTCTCAAGTCAAGTACAAGTTTGGAAAAGCTATAAATATCCTCAAATAAGACTCTTGACAGGCTGAGGTTTTTATTTATCTTGATAGATAATTTCCAGATTTAAAATTAGCTACCTACTCCTATTATCCTTACCAAGAGTGCTTGGCTTATACTACCTCTGCTGTAAAAAAAGGTCCACTGATTTACTAAATGAATTCATTAGAACACTTCTCAGAGGACCAAGAAGTCTGAAGTTTGAAAACAAAAGATTGCAATGGTGCATGTCTATAATCCCAGTGTGGAAGTCCTAGACAGCAGGATCACAAGCTCAAAGCCAGCCTCAGCAACTTAGTGAGTTCCTCAAGCAACTCAGCTTGAGGAAATAAAATTTAAAAAAAAAAAAAAAAGGATGGGATTGTGGCTCAGCAGTAGAGCACTCGCTTAGCACGGGCAGGACCCGGGTTCAATCCTCAGCACCACATAAAAATAAAGGCATTGTGTTGTGTCCATCTACACCTAAAAAAATAAATATTTTTTTAAAAAGGCTGGAGATATGGCTCACTGGTTAAGTATCATTCAGTTCAATCCCTGGTACCAAAACAAAAACAAAAGACTATCTGTAATAAGTGGTGGAAAAATCTAAAAAAAAAAAAAAAAAAAAAAAAAAA